TATTTCTATTATTCTGAAAAGATAAAAATACATTTATCTCTAAGTGGCTTTAGAGCTCCCAAATATCAATATTTTTTTCTAATAGTTAGGACTAAGAATAATAGGTTATGTGGCAAAACTGAATGTTTGAGATTTTCGAATGTGAAAAATCATAAAAAAAGTAAGAACTTTATTTATTATTTTATTATTTTTGTCTAGTATTTTTTTTAATTTTAATTTTCACACTCTTTCTAGTACTTTCTTAGTTCTTCACGTTTTTTATTTTTCGAACTGTTTTTTTTTCTTATTCATATTATTTTTTTAATTTTCTTTAATTATGTCACTCAATTTTTTTGTTTCCTATTTAGTTTCCGTCACATTTTCCTTTTGGACTTTGTATTTTCCTTCTAATTACTTTGTTATTTAATATTTTAGTAAATTTTGCTTTTTTGTACATAACATTTTTTTTTCGTTTCTTAGAGTGCTTTTTTCTATTTTCTTTATTTTGAAAAGTTCACGTTTCTCGTTTTTCGAATTTATTTCTTTTTTTTAATCATATTATTTTTTTATTTTATTTTATCACTCAATTTTTTAGTTTTGTACTTAGTATTTATTTATATTTTAGTATATCCTGTCTTTTCCTTTTGTACATAAGATTTTTTTTCATTCCTTAGAACGTTTTTTCTCCTTTTTATTGATTATGACGTAGTAAAGTTATATTATTTTCATTATTTTGATAAATTAAAAATGCATTTCTTTTGTTACATTAGAGCTCTCTAATGTCAGGTATTTTTTGTAATAGTTCTCTAGCGATTGACAGAAAGTTTTTAAAGTATAAAATCTCAAAAAACAATCATTTCTCGTTTTTCAAATTTATTTCTCTTTTTCTTATTCATACTGATTTTATTTTTTTAAATTTTATCCTCAATTTTTCTGTTTTCTCTTATGTTTCCGTCATAATTTTCTTTTGTACTTTATATTAATCTATATTTTAGTAAATCCTGTCTTTTTCTTTTGTACATAAGAATATTTTTTCTTTCTTATCTTTATTATGACATAGAAAAGTTATATTATTTTTATTACTTTGATAAGTTAAAAATTCATCTCTTAAGTTACTTTAGAGCTCCCAAATGTCAGATATTTATTCTAATAGTTAGAACTAAAAATGATAGTTTATAAAAGTGTTTATTATTAATTAGTGCAGTTAGTAGTGTAAAATGTCGAATGCTGATGATCTACAATTTACCTCTCTAGAAATTGCTGAAACAGGAAACATTGGCAAATGTCAATATCGTGGTAAAAGTAAAAACGCTTAGGTTCAAAAATAGAATTTTTATAGACATTTATGATTGTATTTGTATTTCTTGCCACTGAAAAGTAAAAATCAGCTTGGATCAACGTGTTTTCTGGCGGAAAAGAATATTTTGAAAAATATTTTCTCGCGGAAGAGAAGAAATGTAAAAGTCAAGTCGCGTATTGTCACCCTCCACAATGGAACAAAGGGTTCTTTGACCCGTTCTCTGCGAAATTCAGCATCTTATTAAAGCCTCGTGACGATGTGTGTTATTCAAATGATGTCCTTAACCTTGGCTGAACGCAGGCAGCATTATTTTCAGTAATAGCCGTTTATTAATTGCAGTGGTGCACACTGAGCCTTGGCTTTCCTTTTAGTGGGATATAATAGGCATAGCATCCACTATTAATAGTTTATGGCTCATAAATAATAAAATGGCACTTTTCACTATTCTCTCGTTCGCGTTTATTTTGAGTTGTCATTGCCGTTTCCGCATTATCTCGGACTTTACGACGTCGATGATCAATCTGGAGCCATTGACAATGTTGGGCTCTTTCATCGAGTGGCAAATTTTACTAAATCATAATCGTTTAATTAAAAGACACCGTATATAAATAACGAGCCATATGACGCGCAACACTAACTGTACAAGTATTCAGTGGTTGAGTAAATAAACGGCCAACATGGAACTGTTTAAGTGGGATACCGAACTATTTAACGATTAACTCGCATTTACGATTATTTGACGCTGCAATTAGACGAGATCGCTGCTTTTACTTAATTTCATATAAACCAGCAACGAGCGAATTAATTCGAGAGATGCATGCTGAGAAGCAAGGCTATTTGCCAACACAGTCACGTGAGAAGGCACTAAAATATTTCTGCATACACTATATGCTCACAACACAAAAACAAATCGGAAATTGCAAAATTAAGAACTAATAAATAAACGTAAGCGAAAAAAATCTGCTTCTCTCAAAAAAAAACATCTTCCCCCAAATTCCTATTAGTTCAAGATATGTATTTAGAACAAAATCAAGGAAAGAAACAAGTGAAATATAAAAAATTTGGTGTGAACATCACACGACTTTCCTTATCCTACTTATTTGGAAAACATCCTTAATAACGACAATAATTTAATGTAACCTTTGCGTTAGTGCCAACTGTCGGATTACACGCGAAATAGATCATAGTTGTCGCGGGTTCGAGTCTGGGGTGCAGTTTTTTTTAGTTCGCTATCCATTATTATTATTATTTTATTACATTTTACTGTTTAATAAGGTGTATTTCTAAATATTTTTTATCCACATTTTTTTGCTCGTTTAAAAAAAATATTTGGGCCGAAACTTTGCAAAAGTTAACAGCTTATGAGAGAAAATAGTATATTACACAGTGAGATCAAAAAGTCTGTCTATCAAGCAAGCGTAGAAATTTAAAACGTGTGTCTGTGGAAGATAAAATGTCACAATGACAAACGAGAAATGTCAAAATAATTTTTATATAAATTATGACGGAAACCGTGGTGAACGATTTTTATGAATAAACACCAACAAAATCTTATTTTAGTTTGTTTTGAGACGTTTCATAGAATAATTCAATTTAATTAGCTCAATGTTTTAATTTTCATAAAATATTTTTTTGATATCTAGATAACATACGAACATACGTCCTCAACTAGGACGCCTACTTGATAGAAAGACTTTTTGATCGCACTGTATTAGGAGTATAAGTGATAGTTTACGTGGCTATTTTTTTAATTACTAAAAACACCAAAATGTAAAATTCTATGGAGATTATTATTATTTTCTATTTTAGTATGGCTCCAATAAAGCATAAAATATCGTATATTATGTTATTAGGTGTAAAAGTATTAAAAATCATAAGAAATAAGTATGAATTTGCAGTAAAGGTGATAAAAAAGAGAAACATTTTTCAGCAGTGTGAAGAAGGAAAATGCAATTACAAAAAGTACTCTCTCTTATTTTGTTATTTTCGTCTAGCATTTTCTGCTTTTAATTTTAATTTTCACGTTCTGTTTTTAGTATTTTTTTAGTTGTTCACGTTTCTCGTTTTTCGAATTTATTTCTTATTCATATTTTTTTATCACTCAATTTTTCTGTTTTGCACTTAGTATTTATTTATATTTTAGTATATTCTGTCTTTTCCTTTTGTACATAAAAAGTTTTTTTCATTCCTTAGAACGTTTTTTCTCCCTTTTCTTTATTATGATGTAGTAAAGTTATATTATTTTTACATTATTTTGATAAATTAACAATTCTTTTATTACTTTAGACCTCTCTAGTCAGGTATTTTTTGTAATAGTTTTCTAGCGATTGACAGAACGTTTTTAAAGTATAAAATCTCAAAAAACAATCATTTCTCGTTTTTCAAATTTATTTATTTTTTTCTTATTCATATTGTTTTTATTTTTTTAAATTTTATCACTCAATTTTTCTGTTTTCTCTTATGTTTTCGTCATAATTTTCTTTTGTACTTTGTATTAATTTATATTTTAGTAAATCTTATCTTTTTTCTTTTGTACATAAGAATTTTTTTCGTTCCTTAGAATGTTTTTTCTCTCTTTTCTTTATTATGACATAGAAAAGTTATTATATTTTTATTATTTTGACAAGTTAAAAATACATTTTTTAAGTTACTTTACAGCTCTCAAATGTCAGGTAGTTCTCTAGCGATTGACAGAACGTTTTTACAGAATAAAATCTTAAAAAACAAACAAAATAGTATATTATGTTATTATGTTATTAGGACTAAAAATGATAGTTTATGTAGCAAAGCTAAACAATTTACCTTTCTAGAAATTGCTGAAACAGCGAAAGAAACAAGAAAGAAACAACATTGGCAAATGTCAATATAACGTCATGGTAAAAGTAAAATCGTTTAGGCTCAAAAATAGAATTTTTACTCCATGGAAAGGTAAAACTGTTACCTGTGACATTTAGTCATAAAAATGGTCACTTTTGTGATGTTTGCGGGTAAAAACATATTTTTGTTATTATGAAACATACTCATTTAAAACAAAAAGAAGCAAACTGTATTAATTGCAAATAAATCGATCTATTATTTTGCTTTTTTGAATTAATTCTCTAGTTTTGAAAATTCTACCTTACTGACACTTGTCAAGCAAAATATTTATGTTTTTAATTTTGTTTTAATATTTTATACAGCCCACCCTGTAGGTAACTAAAAAATGTAAATAAAAAAACATTGTTGTATTTTATGGTTTGTGCATTTGTTTATTATTAGGTTACTAAATGATTATTATTTGCACAACTCATGTATTTTTAAATTACATGAAAATTTGATAAGCTTTAACAACGCTCATTATAAAAATGAAGCAACACTTTTTATTTTAATGGCAATTATCTGAAGCAATTTTTGTAACAACAAACCAAGGAATTTCCTTTAACCAATCACGCGGAACTTTAATGACCACCATTACGATATTTTTTGGAAATCCATTTTCAATAGCAATAAATACTTCTGATTTAACAGAAATACTTCTCTAATTTGACTAGTTTTCTCTTTTTTGCCCGTGTTTTACTAGTGAGAAATAAATTAGATATGTAGTTGTTAAATTGTATGTTATTGTTGTTTTATCGCGTTTCCAAGGCAATATTTATGTCCAAATTATCAGTAAGTGCAATAATTTTTTGACAAAATTTTCTACTACTCGGTGAAAGTTATTACCATTTTATTTTACGTTTTTTAAAACATTGTTCAAAAAATGAACATATCAAGTTATAATTTTCATGCTCCGTCTTCGCTTTTTTTTTCTTGGTACGACTACATCCTTTTCGGGGTGATGCTCTCTATTAGTGTTTTAATCGGCATTTATTTTGGCTGTTTTGGTACCAAGCAATCAACAGCCAACGAATATCTGATGGGCGACAAAAGGATGAAACCTTTCATAATCACAATGTCGCTAATAGCCAGGTAACGCATTATTTTTTCCAAAAAAAAAAAATTAAAAAAATTTTTTAGTCACATTTCTGGTACCACTCTTTTAGGCCTACCAGCCGATGCCTACCGCTATGGTGGAACCTTCCTCCTAAGCGGCATTAGTATGTTTTTTGTTGTTCTTGCAACAATTTACATTTACTTACCAGTATTTTACAATTTGCAAATCACCAGTCTTTATGAATACCTCGAATTGAGGTTTGACAACAGGACGAAGAAATTGGTTTCTTTGCTTTACATCTTGTACTCGTTCCTCATCCTTCCATTAATCATATATGCAGCATCTCTCGCTGTATCCACTGGTAATGAAAATACTGAAACCAGAACCAAAAATACCGAAAATTTCAGCCACCGGTCTTCAGATGTCCACAATAATCCCTCTAGTCTGCACCACTTGCATTTTTTACACCAGTATTGGGGGCTTCAAGGCGGTGATTTGGACCGATGCTTTCCAGTGTATCATCACTCAAACATCCGTTATTATCGTTTTTGTGCTAGGAATTAAGTCAGTTGGGGGATTTACCGAGATTTGCACACGCGCAATTGACAGTGGAAGACTTGATTTGTTCAAGTGAGTGCCTTAAACCCCATCACCCCAAAACCCAAATTCTGGTTCAAGCTTTGAATTTGACATCACTAAAAGGCACAGTTTTTGGACTATTGTGATTGGGGTTTCCTTCATTTGGTTAAGTAACACGAGTGTTTACCAAACGTGTGCCCAAAAATTTCTCGCCGTTTCCACACTACAAGGGGCCAAACTGTGAGTAGTTAGTAATTTTTATCCTAATTTGTTGGTAGTACTGTCATTTTTTACGGGATTGGCATAGTGGCAATTAAGGCAATTTGTGTGTTACTTGGACTTGTCATTTATGCAAATTATCACGATTGTGACCCTTTCACGACCAAAGAAGTGACAAGTAACGACCAATTGGTACCGTATTTTGTGATGGAAGTGGCGAAAGGGGCTCCAGGTTTGGCTGGGGTTTTCACAGCTGGGATTATGAGCTCTGGATTGAGGTACCCCAATTTATGAAAATTTTCTAAATAACTGTGATTTTTAGTGGCCTATCAGCCAATTTAAATTGTTTGGCTGGAACAATATATGTCGATTTTTTGGCACAGTTTCTTCCACACATTTCCGAAAAAACCAAATGTGGAATTTTGAAATTGTTAGTAGTGGTGGCCGGAATTGTGTGTCTTGGGATGGCTTTTGTGATGCAGTATTTGGGCGGAATTATCCCTTTGACCATCACGTTTCAAGCAGTAACAAATGGGCCAATTCTTGGAATTTTTACTTTAGGACTGTGTGTACCAAGAGCTAGTGCTAAAGTACAAAATGTGACTACGAAGCCCAAAAAATAATTTTTTGTTTTAGGCCGCTTTTTATGGTGCTATAATTGGTTTAATCTCAATTTCTGGTATCGTGGTACCAGCACAGTATTTCCAAAGTCAGGGATTAATGAATGATTTGCCAAAACCTGTATCTACAGAAAATTGCACTTTTTACAACCAAACTTTGGTACCAGAAACGGTACCAAATGAGACTTTTATTCTTTTTAAAATTTCTTACTTTTTTTATTCTTTAATCGGGTCAATTGTCACACTCGTGGTGGGATTATTGATCAGTTTTATGGATAATAGTGATTTTACAGTTGATGAGAAATTGATAACTCCTCTAGCACACTTTTTATTGCCCGAAAATAAAAAAGCTGAGTATCGGAGTGTTGATGCAGCTTTGAAAAGTTTGAAGCATTTGAAATAAATCACAAAATTTTTCTTGGTCTAACAAAGGACAAATTATGCTTGATTTTTTAATTTCCAAGATTGTTTTTTTCTTACTTTTTTGGATTTGCAAAAGTAAAAAAAATTTAGTATAATATATATACTTACCAAATATTAAAATTTAGGCAAAATTATCTCAAAAATTTTATTGCA